CCCGCTCACACAGTCTGTGATGTGAGGTCCACACGGCGGGCAGTGCCCCACCCCCACCTCCCGCTCACACAGTGATGTGAGGTCCACCCGGTGGGCAGTGCTCCACCCCCACACCCCGCTCACACAGTGATGTGAGGGCCACACGGTGGGCAGTGCCCCCACCCCCACACCCCGCTCACACGGTCAGTGATGTGAGGTCCACCCGGTGGGCAGTGCTCCACCCCCACACCCCGCTCACACAGTGATGTGAGGGCCACCTGGTGGGCAGCGTGCTCCTGTCTTCGGCCATTTGTGTCCTTCCAGGGAGGCGGAGCCTGTGTCGTGGGGCAGCAGTCTCAAGTGACACAGAATGCCCGTGCGTGGGGGTCACTGTGCTTTGACAGCATAGACCTTTGTACACATTGAAGGTGTGTGCCAGCCTTGCACGAGCATGTCTGTTGATGTCACTTTTCCGCTCACGCACTCACTCTGGGTCACGTTCTGAAAATTCTCACCACATTCACATTTTCTCACGGCTTTTGAACAGCTTACTGGCCTGTAGGTCTTGTTCACATGACTTCCACGCTCTGAGAATCCAGAGCCGTCTTGTTTCCCTGTCAGGCTGTCTTCATTGGGACGACCTGAAGTGAACTTGACCAGCGGACAGCATCATGAGTGGTGGGTGCTGGAAGCTTCCTCCTAACCACTGCACCACCCTGCCTCTGCTGGCAGGGTGCACCGAGAGATCTGGAGGCAGAGGAGGGCCTGGTGGTGTGAGGCCGGCAGTGGACGGAGCCCTCCAACACTACCGACATGGTCAGTTCTTGTTGCCTGGTGCCGCTGAGTCGAAGGCAGCTCCTGCTGGCCTAAATACAGCAGGCGGGGCCTCGCCTGACCCTGTGCCTTCCGCATCATCTGTGCTGAAGCCTGGTGTGGTCATGCATCAGCCCATCACGGGAGGGTCTTCCTTTCCTTCGCCGACCCCCACATTTCCGAGTATGGGAACATGCCCCCAGTATGTCAGACGAAGTCTAACAATTTTACTTCTAAGGATAAATTTGCTTCTAAGAAGCCCTCTGCCGGCACGTCTTCCAACTGAGACACGTTTGTCCATGGCACGTTCATCACCACACTTCAGAGGCGTCAGCTTCCTTCTCCGGATTCTTTGTCCAACTTTCATTCAACCAAATGAAAATACCATGGCTTGGGGCAGTTGCACCTTAGTCTTTAAACTGGTATCCTTGCTCTTTAGCACTTTGAAGAGGTCCTTGGCAGCAGATTTGCCCAGTGCATCACATCTTTTGATTTCTTGACTTCTCCTACCCTAGATGTCGATTGTGGATCCAAGTAAAAGAGATCGTTGGTAATTTCATCTTTGCTTCCTCTTTATGTCACTGCCTGTGGTCCAGTGGTGAGGGTTGTTTCCTTGGTGTTGAGATGTTATCTGTCCTGAAGGCTGTATGTAGTCTTTGATCTTCTTCAGAAAGTGCTTTTAAGTCTTCTTCACTATCTGAACACAGGGTTGTGTCATCTGCGTGGTCGGAGGAGATGTCTGTTCAGGAAGGGTGTTGCTGTGACGAGGTGTGGTGTGGCTGGAGTGAGGCCGGGCTGGAGGTACAAGCATCCATCCATGTGGAGACCAAGTGTCCTAGGAAAGAGGGTGGAGCCTTGAGCTGGGAGGAGGCGCGAGACTGAGTGTTTGCCACCATGGGCTGGGCACCACCGGTGCGGTGTGTGGGTGGGGTCTGAGCCCGCATGGAGGAGGAGGCCCCGAGCACTGGGCACTGGGTGCTGTGGCACCACTGCTTCTTGGGTAGGATATGAGCCAACGTGGGGTAGGAGGCCCGAGACTGAGCATTGGGCACTGTGGCACTGCTCGTGCGTGGGTGAGGTCTGAGCCAGCGTGGAGGAGGAGGCTGTAACAGGGGGTGGGGTCTGAGGGTCACAGGATGGTGGGGTTAGAGTGTCCTTGTCCTGAGGAGAGCTGGGCCTTCGGGAGGAATGTGAGGTGTGGGGTCTGTATTAGGAAGTGTCCCTGGCACTGCTTATGTGAAGGAATCTCGGAGATGCGATGCTGGTCAGGAAAGGACAACTAGCTTGGCTGATCACTGTTAGAAACCTGCGGCCAGGTCTCCAGGGAAGGGCGTGAGGGCAGAGAGAGGACACTTCACACGTAGATGATAAACACTTAGGAAGATGGGGAGGAAGACGGTGCAGAATAAATGGGTGATCAGACCTGGTGGGGATTTTAATTCATGTTATGGAGCAAGATGTGTTTAAATGGGTGACTCATGAACCAATTTGATTTTGTAAACTTTGATACAAATCACAATTAAAAACCCCAAAACTAATTGCTCCCAGAACTGGGATGCAGAAACCCTCAGATCTTAGATGTTCCTCACCAGTGCCCATGGCCACCCCAAACTAGACCATTGTCTGCTCTGATGTCACCCTCCGAGCAAACGTCCAACGAAGATTCATCATGAAAGGTTTAATGTGAGAGCTTTAGTATGAATTTGTGCTACTGATTGTTTTCTTTTTGATATTACGCAGTACTTATTTATGATAGAAGTTAAATTCTTGTTACCATATTTTGTTCAAGTTGTTGCCTTGTATCTAGTGTCCTCAGCAGCGTTCTGCCTGTCCACGTAGGTTCTCAGTGTCGTTGCCGTTAGGTTTACCTGTGCTCCGTTGGTGAGTTTATTTGCCTTTTCACTTCCTTCAGATCCAGGTGCCCCTTAGAGGCAGGCGTGGTGAGCGTTCACCTCACACACTTTGGGCGTGTTGTCAGAAGCCAGTCCTTGGAAAAGGACCTCACGCTGGGAAAGTGGCAGGTCGGGGAGAGAGGAAGAGACCCCCGGTGAGAGGCTTGGCGCAGGGGCCGCAGCAGTGTCTTGCGGATGGTGTAGGACAAAGCAGGGCCCCACCTTCCTTCAGAGGGTGGCAGGGCCCTGGGAGTCGTCGACTCAGCAACCGTACAAGTGGTGTATGAAAACTGCTCGCATGATGTGTTTTTCACCGTCTCCTGTATTGTGTTTTAGGCTCTGATGGATTCTAACCTTCCGAGGCTACAGTTAGAACTCTACAAGGAAATTAAAAAGGTAGGCTTGTATTTTCCAGAACTGACCCGCCTGTGTGGAATGCTGCCCTTCCCAGGCTGTGTGTGTGTGCGCGTGTGTGTGCGCGTGCGTGTGTGCGCGCGTGTGTGTGCGTGTGTGCGTGCATGCGTGTGTGTGTGCGCGTGTGTGTGCGCGTGTGTGCGCGTGCGTGTGTGTGTGTACACGCATGCGCATGTGTGAGGATGAGACGCTGCTGTCTGTCATCCAGAGGCTGGTGGTTCGTTGTCTTAGATGCCAAGTGACAGCCTGACAGCTTGCTTTTTGTACCTGTGTGATTGAAGCCCGAGCTGATGGCACAGTGGACTAAGCATTGGGCTACTATCGGAAAGTCCAGTGATTGGAAGCCTCCGGCGCTCTGTGGGCAAAGGGTCCGCTTCATTGACAGTCTCCGGGGTTGTCGTCAGATACTTTGTACTTTGGAATGGCCTTTCCCCTCAAAACAGCAGTCACCATCATAAAAAAGTGCTTTGGCTGCCCCCTTGGTGCCTCGGAGCTGTGAGTGACACCGCACATCCCCTCCCCTCAGAACGGAGCCCCTCGGAGTCTGCGCGCTGCCCTCTGGAGGTTTGCCGAGCTGGCGCACCTGGTCCGGCCACAGAAGTGCAGGTAAGCGGGCTCTGCACGGGGCCCTCCGCTCACTGCCCTCATCGTGTCTTCACTCTTCCTTCCTGAGCACTTCATTGGCAGGCTTGCTCCTTCTCTCTTCCACCAACCCCCAGAAACTTCTAGGCGGTGGCAGCAGGGACCTTACTTGCCTGTTCTTATTCTAGCCCAACCTGAGGACAGTGTCAGGCGTATAAGCAAAGCCTAAACCCACAGTCAAGTCAAATCTGATTCCCTGGGGCTGTGTGAGACAGAACGCAGCTACGGCCATGCTTTGCCCCACATGTGGCAGTGGAGTTTGAACCGCTAGACTTCGGGTTAGCAGCCAAGCTCAGTGAGCAGTGTGTCAGCTGGGTTCACGTTCATGCTCAAGCTCATTGCTGTCAAGTCAGCGTGGACTCAGCGCAGCCTTCTGCTGGGTCTCTGAGGGGGAGACTGTCCAGCGCTTTCCTGGAGGGCAGATCATGGACTTGAACCAGCAGATACCGTGGACCTGCCCCCAGGCCTCCCTCTGGCACGTGGTAGCCGCTTAAGAAAAATGGCTTGGCAGATGATCTAAGGTGGAGATACTGGCTGTGCTTGCCTGTGATAGAAATGACGTGATAAAAGGAATGCACATGTCTGTAAGGGAATGTTAAGCTGCGAATCAACTATGACTGTAGCCAGTTGTGAGGGAGCCCTTGTGGCACCGCAAGTTAGTGTTGGGTTGTTAACCAAAAGCTGAGGAGTTCAAATCCACCAGTTGCTTCCAGGGAAACAGAAGATGCAGTCTGCTCCTGCTGAGTTACGGCCTCAGAACCCAGCGGAGGCTGTCCGTGAGTCCACACTGGCTCGACGCGGTGGGTTTGACTCTCAGTTACACCAGTGTGAGGTCAGGGTTTACCCCCCTGCTCCTAAGGACCCAGCAGGCCTCAGCTGGGCCTCCACCCCAGGCCCGTCACACTTACTGAGTATCACTCTCCTGTGGCCGCGGCGTCAGTCAGGGAACCTTGTTCCTTTCTCTTTTGAAAAATTTGCTGTAGCTCTGAAGCAGCAAATCTCAAGTTCTCCACCAGCAGCTAAAGTGCCCCTAAAGTCCCAAAACTGGGCCCTGCCGTGTCTGCTTTCAGGGCACTCTGGCGACCTGGGTGGGTGCTGTGCTTGTCTGGGGGTTCGAATCCACCACTGCTCCTTGGGAGAAGGATGGACAGTCCCCCATCGTGTGATCTCCTGCCTCTGACCAGCCGCTGGAGGGTCAGCGGGTCGGTTCCCACCCGATGGGAGAGAGTTTGGGGTTTTGAGTTTGGTTACTCATTGGAAGTCTTCTCTCATTTCCCTGCACCCTGCACCCCTGGCTCCTGAGAGACCTCCCAGGCTGAGGGGCTGGGCGCTGTGATCCCCACCTCCAGTCTCTCTGTGGCTTTCCCACCTGAGAGATGGCGGGCTCTCTCCGTCACCCCCGCAGAGGCTCACTTGTACAAGTCCAGCTTGTCCCCAGATACGTGTGAGCTGCCTGCGAGTTGATTGTGGCTGTGACCTGACAGGGCAGGGCGGAACGGCCACAGAGCGTTGTCGAGCGATAATCTTATTACAGAAGCAGATTGCCTCGTCTTTTCTCTTCTGGAACTTCTGGGTAGATTCAAAGCGCCAAGCTTTGGGTTTAGTGGGCAAGCACTTAACCATGGTGAGCCTCCCCCCATGCGGAGCCCGTGGTCTGTAACCGGTGGAGCCACCACTAGAGGGCAGCACGGGACTGTCCTCTGCACTGTGGGCCTGTGTCTGCCTGTGGACGCTGCCCTGGTGGGGTGGCTGCCGTGTCCACCTGCCTGTCCAGGACTCCTCCCTCATGCCCTGCCTTTTAAAAACTCATCCTTTTCCAAGATAGCGTCTTTTAAAAACATTTTGAAAATGCTCTTAATATTATTGCTTATTTTCCCATTGAAAATACAAGTATTTTCCAATTCCTGCCACTGAAGGCACCTCATTTTAAATGAAGCTTTGGAGAGGCATCTGTGTTGCAGACCGAGGGTAAAGTATATGAATAAGTATTTATAATGAGACAGAACACCGAGAATGTATAAGTAATAAAGAGGTAAGGCAGGAGGTGACAGTTCTCCAACAACTGAAGCCCTGGGCTCCGCTTCCTGGAGCCTTTACTGAAAATCTCCAGGGAGCAAATCACAAAGCGAATTCAATGCAGATGAAGCTAAGCTCTTCCTATTGAAAACCTTATGCTTGACTCAGGGAGGGCTAGCAAATACAGTGCAAGAATCTGCTTAAGGAGCCTTAGTGTCTACCCCTGTAAACACTTAATGACCGCCTTAGTGTCTACCCCTGTAAACATTTAATGACCGCCTTAGTGTCTACCCCTGTAAACACTTAAGGATTGCCTTAGTGCTCCAGCGTGAATTCCAGCTTGTAGCAGCCTCCCTCATATCCTGATAGAACATTTGGTTTATTATAAATATGTATTATTAATTTTGGCTTCCCGTTCATCTGTGTTGCAGGCGCGGAGGTGTGTCTCCCAGGCCATTTCCGCACCCTTGTCCTGGTTCTCATTCCTCAGCCAGGTTCCCCGTCAGCTCTCTGTGAAGCGTTATTTGCGTATAACAGCTGGCTTCCTCACATGGGTATGAGAAGGATTGTTTGTGCTTTGCTGAGCTGCAGCAGTAATGTGTTCCTCTTCCTCCTGCAGGCCTTACCTGGTCAACCTGCTGCCTTGTCTGACTCGGATAAGCAAGAGGACTGAGGAGTCGGTCCAGGAGAGCCTGGCTGCAGCCATACCCAAAATCATGGCCTCCTTTGGAAACTTCGCGAACGACAACGAGATAAAGGTACGCTGGGTGCCTTGGGCGGCCACCACGGGAGTGATGCCATGGCTGAGTCTTGGGGCGTGGGCTTCAGAAGCTGTGCTCTGAGCTGTGTGGGTCTCGGAGATGCAGGCGAGAACCCCATGGGCTTCCTTGGAGGGCCCCAGTGCTGCTTTCTTCCGCTGCCCTCTTACTGTGCAGTGAGGGGGTAACGCTGGCTCAGAGGCAGGTTTCCTGAGCAGGCTGGATCCTGCTGTATCACATTGACTTCCTGGCCCGGTCTAGGAACAGGACCATGGGGACTGCAGCTGGACAAGCTAGGAATGCTCCTGTCTGTGACCTTGTCCCTTGATTACCTGCCTGCCCTGTCCGCAACAAACCGTGCTGTTCCTGACCCGCAGGACCAAGCAGACCCACCCTAGGGGGTTCCCACGGCTGGAAGTCCTTACCAAAGCTGACTGCATCCGTCCTGCTGCTGTGGGGCAGCTGGTGGATTCAAACCACCAACCTTTGGGTTAACAGCTGGGTGATTTCACCAGCACGCTCAAGTCTGCTTTAACATTTTACTTAGTGTCCAGAGCCTCTTCTTTGACGCTGTCCCCTGGTCTGAAGGCTCCTGAAGTCCTGTGCATGGTGGCAGCTGGCTGCCCGGGAGGTGCGGTAGCCGAGCGCTGCTCTTGGGAGTTGACAGATAGAATCCTGCTGTCTCCTCTAAGCCTGCTTCGTTGCCTCCTGCTCTGAAAGTGGGAAATGAGCAGTCCCCACAGAGATTCTCCTGAGTTAAGTGAATTCCTGCTTAGAGATCTTCACCAAGGCCCGGCTCACGGAAGCCGTCTCGCTGGTAGCGACGGCTCCTCTGGGCTGCGTGACTTTGAATCTGTTATTTAGCTTCTCGTTCCCTCCCCCAACCCAAGCCTCACAGTTTCCTTGTTGATGGTCAGGAGGCACTGAGCACTGTTCTGTAGGGTTTGGGAGGGGGCTGTCCTGGGCTTCCCTTCTGCCCTTCCTGTCGGATGCCTGATTCCTGGATCAGGTACATTCATCTTCCTAGGTTGGATGGAACGTGTTTTCTGGTGGCTTCCTGGGGATGTTGTGCCCGAACGATAGCTTCCCTCTCTGTCACATGTGGCTGGGCCCGAGCCCTGAGGAGTGCTTCTGCCCCAGCTCCTTGGAGGCCAGTGTCACCCATGGCTTTGGAGGCC